TCGCCAGAAAGTTGAGCTGTTTGAAGTCAATGCCGGAGTGTTTGTTCAGAGTCCCATTTCCTGAGAGTGTGGGCAGGTCAGGTACCCAAGCTTCACCATAACCCAGCTCTAGCAGCCCAGGGTTATTTCCTTGACCACCCCTCCCCTTACAACTGACTCACGGGGCCGAGTGCGGGTGGTTCCCTTCCAGAATGTGTCCTTGTATGGAATACGGTTAAGGTTTTGGCCCATCTTCTCTGCCCGCTCTGGGGAAGAAAAACAGCTTTGGCCCCAGTTGTAGTATGGAGTGAGGAGATAGGCAGGGACAAGACAAGAGGATACAAACTGGAGTTGGGGTACAGACCTCGGAGGAGCTCTCTCAGGGGTGCCTTGGCTTTGTCCACAGGCATTTCTCCATACTTGTTACAAATGCTGACAAGGGCCCCATTAGCCACCAGGTCCTGGAATGAAAAGGGGTTGTGATGAGGGGCTTTGCCACCTCTGTGGCAGTCACAACCAACCATCAATACAAGTGGTGTACCAACTCTGAGTGTCACATATTCAGCGGTACTTACAGGATGGATTGAAGGTTCTAGAATCTTCCATTCAGGCTCAGACTTTGCCTCTTACCTATCCCAGGGCTCAGGGCCTTAGTACTCACCTCTGCAACCTGATCTTGGCCCCAAAAACAGGCATAGTGCAAGGGCACATTTCCATGCTCATTCACTGCATTGATGTCAGCTTTATACTGCAGCAGCTGGTCCCCATGGCCAAGTAGAAGAGGCAGAAGACAAATGAGAGATGGGAGTTGAGGCGTGCAAGGAGGGAGAAGAGTACACATGTGTTATATTGCTTGTGACTGACTTCTAGACATATGTAATGTAGGTGAGAGGGAGCATTCGTGCATACCTTCTGCACAATATCACGGTGTCCATGACTGGCTGCCAGGTGCAGGGGGGTGTCATCCCCACGATTCATCACATTGATTCGTGCCCCCCGCATGATCAGCATCTCAACCACAGCAGAACGGCCCTCTCGGCAGGCCCAGTGCAAGGGGGAGAAGCCATGATCATCCCTTTGAGGAAGGGACAATGGTCATTGATCTGGAGGTGGGATGGGGGCAAAGGCTTTGATATAGGAAAAAGTGATAGTTATTCTGAATAATATCCCTGGAAAACCATACCTGTCCAGGACTCTGATTCAGATTCATGCCAGCAACTCCCAAAGCCATCCAATTAAGACCTTCCCCTGAGCTTCAAACCTATCCAACCACCACCTGAAATCTCAACAAATCCATATGATTCACTGTCTTCATCACCATCTCCCACTAGCCTTTCTTCCTTGGCATGCCCTATCTCATTAAATGGTAGCATTTTTCATCTGGTTTCCTCTGCATTCCTTTTGCAACATCTGTTGGTCCTTTTTGTTTCCACTGCATTTCACTTCCCTCTAGTATACTACTTGTGGCACTGGTGCTCGCTTCGGCAGCACATATACTACTTGTGGCACTGGATTGTAAAAATCTTAATGAGCTGTCTTGTCTGCTAGACTATGACCTTCTTGAGAGAATGGATTGACAGCAGGTGTTTAGTGCATGTTAATACAAGGGAGAGGTGTCTTGGAGAAGGAAAGCCACAACTCATGGGAGAAGAAGCAAGCTTACTGATTGGCTCTGGTACTGAAACCTAAGACCTAAAAATGGACTGGAATTAGAATAATGTTTTGGAAGGGTTTATAATGAAAAAGAAATTTGTTTGATAAGTCATTACTAATGAGGCAGATATCAAACCAGGATTTGGTTTGGTAAAACAGGATTCCTCTACTCAAGCAGTCCTGGTGCCAGAAAACAGAGGAAAATGAGAATGGCTTCTTTAGAAAGAAAACTATCTGACTCCCCCCACCCCACCCCCAAGGACATGTATTTTCTAAAGTAAAAGAACTGTACAAAAAAAAAAAAGAAAACACTTGGTGGGAGCTGAGCCTGCCTGACAGCCTGGGGCCATAAAAGGAAATTCCCTCCAGTCTGGTGTGTGTGAAGATCCAAGGGGCGGGGCAGGGGGCGGTTCCTGGTCTGAGACCGCAGCCTCCGGATGCCTTAGTGCTGCGGTCACTTCCCTTGTGGGGGCTCTACGCATGGCCTGAAACAGATCAGGGGTCTGGCCACTGCAGGCCATCCAGATGTCCCCCTCCCCCAGGGGGATGGGGGTGTGTGTGGCCTTTAATGACTTCCCTCCACAGCTGCCCTCATCTGCTCATTAGAGATAGCCAAAAGCTTTCCTGGGAGGTGAATTACTCCCTCCTCCCCATCTCTGAAGCAGCCATCCCCTACTTATCAGTGAGTTTTGCCTCCCAGATCTTTAATTTGTGCCCCGGTTTATCAGCCTCCTGCAGTCTGTGGCATGAGCAGGCCAGAGCCTGAGGGCAAAATATGAGCACAAGGGTTCCACTCACTGTCAGACTGCCTGTCACCTCGACCACAGACTATAATCCCGAAGAGCCTTGCAGGGAGTTCACCCCACCTCATATCCAGCATATAGCCTGCTTGGGCCCCCAAAGCCTTCCAGTTTCACTAATGCCACCCCTTCACCTTTTGGCACTAAAGAGTTTTATAAAATGCAAGTTCCCCTGGAAAACTTCACCTAAGCCTTTATAACCCTACCAACAAAAATAGTAAGAGTACTCACTGTCTTTATCTGACCACCCTTTGAAGGATTATGAAAGAATTATGTAAATTATAAAAGAGTACGAAAAATGGGAAAAAGTGACCAGGAATTATAGAGGAAGAGCATAAAGCCTAATGAGAACCTGTGGAGCCTAGATAAAGATTATAGGTGATCCTTACCTCTCAAACCTAAAAACTGAAGAAATAAAATTTTAAAACAAAAAACTCCTAAAACCCACCATCCTGAATCATCAACATCACTATTGCTTTTCTTGCCTGTCTCAGCCAACCTTGAAGAACTTGTCTACATTCACTCTCTATTTCCTCACCTCCCATTGAACCTGCCACGAGGCTGCTGCCGTGAGGGCTGGCATTATGTCTGATTCTGGGCCTCTAGCACAGGAGGTGTTCATAGTACTTTAAGTGAAGGAACCCAGTGTTGTCTGGTTTCTTCATCCATTTTCCTCTATGGCAGCCTTCACAAAGATCATCAAATACATTATTAATTGTAAGTTCAATAGTTATTTTAAAGTGCTCAAGTTCTTTTACTTCTCAACAGCCTATACTACTGTTGACCACTCCCCCTTCATTGAAACATTCACTTCTCTGAGCTTTACTAACATACTTTCCTGTTTCCTGCAACCTCCAGTTGCCCCTTTTAAGTCTTGCAGGCTTCTGTCTCTGTCACACCCATGTCTTCAGGTATCATCGATGTGCTAACACCTCCCAATCTGTCTCTCCAAGTCAGCTCTCCTGAAATCCGAATCTGCATAACCAACAACCTACATGACATTTCTACTCTACTGTACAGTCACTTTAACATGTCACAGCGGCAGTCATCATCCTTCAGCCTTGTCCAACTCAGTAAAAGCAACCACCATCTACCCAAGAGTCTGAGCCAGAACCCTGGTCATCATCTTTGCTTCCTCACTTCCCACACCAAGTCTCATCAATTCTTTATCCTAAAGAATTCAGGAACCCGATCACTTCTTTTTCATCTGCTCCCATTCTAGCCACCACTTCTGGGACAGACTAAGCAATTGCTTCTCCACATGGCCACCTGCTCTTCAGAAGGTATCCAAGATGACACTTAAATGGACAATCTCATATCACAGCAGGGCTTTAAACCCTTGTTCTTAGAATAATGACCTTATTATAGCATAAATATCCTTGCATGATCTGGCTGACCCTTCCAGCAGACTTCTCCAGGCTTATCTCCTGTGGTTTACCACTTGTACCCAATGCTTCAGCCCACAGAAGCTCATAGAAGTCTATCCTCCAGCCATATGAACCTGTAGACATTTTCCAGACACTCCGCTCTCTGTCTTGCCTCCTAGCTTTCGCCCATGCAGTTCACTGAGGCTGGAAAGCTCTCTGCAGCCTGTGCCTGTGAAACTCTTGTTGAGCAGTCAAGATTCAGCCCAAACACAGCTTCCTCTGTGGAGACCCTCTGCCCCCCACAGGCTGTGCTTCGCACTAGTCCTACTGGGTAGGAAAGTCAGCCGCCCCCAGCCAACGTGAGCACCCCACATCGCGGAGAAGAGCATGTCTTTGCCCTTCTCACCCACCAGCCACCTCAGCTCACCCCTGGTTGAGGTCGTTCTCCGTGTTGTCCAGCCACAAGCGAACGGCCACCGCGTTGCCCTCCCGGCACTGAGTGAAAATGTCGTCCATAGCAGCGTCCCGGCGCTGAGTCCCCTAGATTGGGGAAGCCTGCGGACTGTGGAGGGATCCAGAGAAGGATGGTGAACCCCGAGCTTTGTCCCCTACCGGAGATAAGTGTTCGTGAAGGGGGTGAGGGTCTCCTGCTGCCTCCCCGGCTAGTGGAGCTCTGGGAAGGAGTTCGGGAAGTCGGGATTATCCCTGACCGTGTCCCCTGGGCGCGAGGGAAAGCGGGTCCGCGCGAGGTAGGGGGGGGATTAGGAAGTAGTCTCCTGAAGGGGTGTCGGCGAACAAGCTCGGGGACCCTACCCGCGAACAGACCTGGGGGGAGGGGGGAGTTCAGGCGCCCTAAACCCTGGGAGAGGCGATCGGGGGTGCTTCCCGAGGGGTGGCCCTCGTTCCCTACTCGGTATTCGGGCCGAGTGAAGGCTGACGGGTTGGCAGGGGTCGAGCCTTGGGGAAGGGCACGGGTGCTCCCGCACTCACCGGGACTCGGACCGGAGGAGCCTTCTTCGGGGAACTCCCGTCCGGCCGCGCCCGCCGCCCGGCCCCGCCCCTGGCCCTCTCTGGCCAGCGCGGGCCCCCATTCCTCCCTCCCTTTCGCCTCCCGTGCCCTTCTAGCCAGCAGTGCCTAAACTCAATGGTTTCTTGCGCCGCGCCGGCCGCTCTAGCCAACCATGCGTCACTCTTTGGTTTCCGGCTCAGTTCCGGCGGCTCCGGGGACTCGGTTCACTAGAGACGTGCCCTGCATGTGGACGGGTTGTGTGGACTCCGCGACTTCACCCACCCCACCTGCATGTTTGAGGAGCCGGAGTGGGCCGAGGAGGCCCCAGTAGCCGCGGGTCTCCCGCCTGGAACCTCGCGGCCTCGGCCCGCCTCAGCCTCGCAAATCAAAGTGAGCGGCCCTGCAGGGAGCTGTTTCAAGCCGAGCTTACCCTGGTGGATCTGAGCGTTGGGGCACGCAGTGTGTGTGTGTGTGTGTGTGTGTGTGTGTGTGTGTGTGTGTGTGTG